TATATATATATATAAATATATATAAATATATATATACTTATAAACTAATAATTCAATTGGTTATTTTATTAGTTTAATTGACAGTTATTGTCTAAGCTTCTCTCTTGCCATTATTTTGTTGATGAAGCAGTTAATAACGGGACTTGTCTTTTGTGAAAATTTTGCTACTAACTGTTTAACACTTAGTCCATTATGCCAATATTAACTGTCCACACTTTAGAAAGATACAATAAAATTAAGACATTTAAAATTATTATTATTTTTTCTGCAACATATGTTTTTATTATTGGGTAAGCAGGGAACTAAATAAAGCTGTTGCTAGTTATAATGTATCCTTACATCAATGAACCCATATAAAATTGTAAAATTTTGTCTTTTTATTTGAACTAAGTACTTTAGAATTCTCATGCCAAGTTATATTCACATTAAAATCATGAAATCTGATTCGAATGTATTTTCCAATAATTGTTAGTTTAAATCTTTTTTTATCTCTTTTTAGTGCTGTTCTAGCTGCTAAAGATCTGTTTCCATATGACACATTCAAGGACAAATATGGAAAAGAGCAGAAGCGCAAGTATTTTAATGAAGGATTGTGGGAAATTGAAAATAATCCTACTGTCAAACCTGGTACCGGTCAGGTGGTAAGTTACCCATATATTCTTATAATTCAGAAATGCATAACCTATCAGCAGATGAGCTTTATAAACTTATTATTTGGCTTAAGAGACTATACAAAGTCTAATTTAGTGTTTCAGTTGTAATTACTTAACATTTCTTCGTTGAACAAAAAAAAATATCACTTTGTCTTTATTAAAAGACAAAATACAGCAAATTATGTATATATTTATAAAGTATGTATATACAGTCAAACCCCGCTATAGTGAACATTCAAGGTACCGAAATTTCAGTTCACTATATCCGTTCCGTGAGCAATTTTAACTTATGGTTCCGAACTCCTTCTTTTTATTACACATTATAAAAATAAATGACCAATAAAATGAATTACAAAAATTACTGAAAAATAATCCGTAGTAACAAAAAATGTGTTAACTTGCTTTTATTTTTTAGTAATCTTTAGCTGATGCAGGGAAAAATTTGTCCATACAGCTGCCTGGGTAGGCCATTGTTTAGGGATGAAAAAGTGAGATAAAAGAAGCAAACAAGAAAAAATGCTTAACTCTATAGATGGTTTTAAAAATAAGTATAAGTATTTACTTTGAAGTAGACATTTCAAAGTCATTTGAAAAAAATGAAGGAAAAAAAAAACAGTCGAAAACAGAAAAAGGTTCATAAAGTTCTTCCTCACTTTTTTAGTTCACTATGTCCATAAAAAATATCATTATATGTGTATAGCAAGGCACGGGACCGAATATTTCGTTCACTACAAACCGGGTTCACTATAGCGGGGTTCGACTGTATTAATTTAAAGGTAATAAAAAGTCTCTCGCTATGGAAGTATCTACTAAAATTTATTTATTGTAAATCTTTAAAAAAAAAACATTTTTTTTTGAATTAATAATTTCATAATTTTTTACTGTATATAAATTACTTAGAATACAAATAAATCCTTTACAACACTATTACAGGTAAATCCTTTAACTGGGCAAGTTTTGGTTTCAGAAAGTTTTATGTAAAAATATTTAAAAGGCAAAAGACTTAAAACTTTTAAGCTTAAATTATTGGTACCTTTGCTTTTGGGTTTTTTAATGCTGTGATTTTTTTTTCTTTTAAATATGGAATAAGTTTGAAAAATAATTAATCTAACTGAAATTATTTTATTTTTTTAAAAGTAATTTAGATTACTCTTTTACTTTGGCTAAAAGATGTTTTTAAGAATTTGTTGTTCATTCCAAGATAATAATTTAAGATTTTAATGAAAATACAGAAATGCTCACTAAATTTATTTATAAGCATCTATGAATGAACATGAACAATCCATGTCTACAATATATATGTTCAGTGTTTAATTAAAACTTTTTTTTTTAATCATACAAAATTTTTACTTATTATTAAGCAAGCATTAAATGAAACTCGTTTTTGTTTCTCGTTACAATGTAAAATTTAAAATATCAGAGAGACTGTTTTATTTCTTTATATTTAAATATAAAATAAACTATTTCTACTTTTCAGACATTAAGTTCAGTTTACAGTGTGAACTGAACTAATCTAAAATCAGAAAATATTTTTTCTAGTCCTACTGTTATAAGAGAAGCAGTGAAGAACTGAGTAATCAGATGAGATAATTTGGCTTTCATTTGGTATTCTAAATTATAGTTTTTTGCTAAATTACAGCTTCAATATTCTAAACTTTATTTTTAAACAGGGATTTTTTGCAGAAGGTACGGTACATAGTGGCTCAGGAGATAGATCGTTTCCTTTCCAATGAGGTGAACTGGGTTTGAACCCCAGCGATAGCTGATCAATACGAATTCCGTACCAGACTTGCAATGAACACAGTACTTATGTAAAAATATACTCAGTGGTAAACGGATCATGGGTTTAGAGTCCCCTTGCCGCCAGGCGAAGTGGTTTCCGAGGGTTTTCCTCTTTATGTAACACATTAGTTCCATCAAAAAGTCCTCCATCAAATTTCTCCCAATATCGAGTAGTTCCCTTGCTTTCTGGATTGGGTTCAAAATTACAAGGCCATAGAGTTGAACATTAGTAGTCGTAAATCCAAAACTGAAGCAACTGTCCAACAACAGTTATAATATGAAAGGTACAGTAGAAGGAGACAGTTACAGTCTGTAATAGAAATCTTTAAATAAAATAGGATTATTTTGGTCTATTCTTTTAAAATACTCATTACAGAATTTTTTTTTTTAACTGAAAAATGTATTTCCGTGTTCATATTAATTTTGAAATATTGCATGTATGCTGTATATATCTGTTTGGTGTATTTTAACAAACCCTTACAAGTCTACCAAATGTGAAGAAAATTCTTAGAGCCTAATATCTAACAGAAGCCCTAACACAGCTTTTATATGTATTATATAAAACAGCTTATATATATGTATATATATATATGCAGCTGTAGTAACCCTTTTAAAATATTTTTGGAAAGATAAATCTGTATTTGTTGAAATTTCTCGTAAAGGAAAAAAAATTACTTTAAGAAATTTTTTTTGTTTTTTTTTTTTTAAAAATTAGTATATATGTTAAAATAATAGCAATCATAACAAATAATATCTATGTGATGAAATAGTAAAAATCAAAGTATATTGAAATAGTAATATTTTATAATTTGTGAAACAATTAAAAATTTTGTAGCATTTTTTTCTTCAACTAGACCAAAATATTTTTTAAATCTGTCAGTATTCTCCTGTTTGCATAAACAGACATAATCTGCATCCCTGGAGTTTACAATCCAAATATTTGAGATTTGTTAGATTTTCAAGACTTCATGGTTACAATCTTCAAACTCTGACGTGTGAAGAAAAACTTAATTTTGATAATTAAGTGCTTACATACCATTTAAATGTCTATGAACTATTTAAGCAAAACTTAAAATAATGTATTATGAAAAAAAAAATTAAGCCTTTTTTTTTTTTTTTTAAGACTATCAAATCCATTGAGAAGGCTGAAGCTGCTGATGAAACTGCTAGTGATGAAGATGAAAAACTGGTCATTGATGAAAAACCAAATGTAAGTTGTTCTTTCATCCAAATTTGCTTTTTTAAAATTTTGTTACCATTTTTTTTTTTTTTTTTTTTTTTTTTTTTTTTTTTTTTTTTTTTTTTTTTTTTTTTTTGGAATTAAATTTAAGTGTTAAAGATTTTTAAGGGGGGGGGGAAGCAGAAAGAATTTGAAAAACAATTTTTGAGATTTAATGTTGAAGTTTTTCGATTCACTGGCTCAGTTAATCAAATTAGTGAAGTATGCAAAAAGTGACAGTGTATGGGGTCCAACCTTTTGATTGCTCTCTTACTTAAAATATTGAGACCATTCTTTCCAGATTGCAGCACACCCTTATATTTTAAGGGTCATAAAACCAAATTTGTTGAAAACTAGGTATGTTTGTTCAGAGGTATTAAATTTTTTTGTCTGGTTTTGCAACTTTAAATATTATATAAACTTTTTTATTACCATATTAAGGTGCAAATTTTAAGAGGGAGTCTTGTGATGTGAAATTATGCTAATTTAATTAACAGTTATGTTGTATGTTATCTTTTTTCAAAATGTTCAATTATGATGCATAGTATTACATAGATCTAATGTCATTTATAATAACAAACCATAATAATGCATACTTTGCAACTGAACTGTAACTCAATAATGATGTTAAATTTGATTATTACAAACTTCTAAATTTTTATAATGATAAGAAAATGACTGGAGCATTTCGTTGATAGAATTGTACAAAATTTAATACTAGAAAAAAATATTTTGTATGTATTTTGATAATACTTGTAATAAAGATTGATATTTTTTTTTTTTTTAGAAGGAAGAGACTGGATCACACAAAAGAAAAAGTGATCATAAGGAATCAAAGGTAATACTTTATTACTGGAAAATTAAGAATTCTCATTCATTATATTAGTGTTAGTGTTATGAAGAAAAAAAAATCTTGTGTACACTATTAGAGTTTTAGACTATTGCGGTGGCTGTAATTAGATATTTTAAATTATAAAAATCTTTTTTATGTTTCCTGTTTTGTTTCTTGGAAATTTCTCTTATTTTTAAATTTTCCTAACAGCAAATTTATTAACAAACTAATTAAACAAGTTCCTTATACATATCACTGCTAATGCTGATTCCTCCCCCCCCCCAAAAAAAAAAAATTTATACCATCAAATTGAGATTTGTATCAAAACTATCAAATCCAAATCCCATAAGTAAATAAAAGAGCAGAATAACTAGTAAAAAATAAACTTACCCCTTATTGTATAGAGGTTTTTTATGACTTTTAAGTAATATGTAATGTTTTATTATATTTTTGCTATTTAATTAGTGAATTCATATGTCTTATTGATCTTACTTCGGATAGAATTAATAATTTAGCCTTTTTGCACACATTGTCAATGCTGAATCAAAATTCACAGTTGAAAATAACGGCAGGGGTGGGATTGTATTCCGAGTATACCCCGAAATTCATTTTTTGTATCATCTTTCTGGGTCAAAAAACTGGTAGCTGGGCTTGTGAAGTTCCGGTTATCTCTAGACCATTGGTTTGCAAACTTTCATAAATTTCAATTTCGAAACTTTCGCTAAATCACTTGATTGAGATGTTTACATGCAAGTGATCCTTCTGCCAATTTGATTTGGTGAATTTTTGCTATTTTACATATTTGAAACTGCATCTCTGAATCTGCTGCTACCTAATTTCATAAATTCAAAATTTGGCACTTCTTTGTAGGCACATCTGCATGCCAACAAAACTTTTACGAATTTTAAAAAAGAAATTGAAAATTTTGCAATGTGAGTTAAATGTCTTTTGCATTTTTATTTTTAGAAAGGTAAAAAAGCAAAAGTTGAAAAAGAAGCCTCTGCTGATGAAGAAGAAAATGAGCAATCCAGTGATGACAATGTGGTAAGTTTAAATGTTATTGTATTTATATAAATGTTATTGTTATATTATAGAGTTTTTCTTAGGGATAAAAAAAAAGGGCACTTTGAGTTTTGAAAAGGCCAACGTTTCATTTACCACCGTTAAAATTTGTCAAAATGTGTAATATTATGATGTAATATTATGTAATAACTGAATTTGATCCTTAAAATTTTTTTTATTACCTTCTTATACTATTTTATGTGTATATTTTGAAAAGTAATTATCACTCATCAAAATAACACAAAAATTTGGAGCTGTTTAAAAAAATAATTAACTGTATGCTAAAAGACCATCTCTGTTCTTAAATTTTCTTCAAAAAAGTGCACTGAAAATGATTAATTGATAAGCAACTTAAAAGCTTTTTTAGTAGGTCAAAGCAGCACAGCATCAATCTAAAGAATTATTTTGAATTTCCATCTTATTTGTATAAAACTGAAAAATGAACTTGGAGTACAGAGGGCTTTGTAATTGCATGCTTCGGAGAAAGGATTTAAAATGAAATTGGAGTAAATAAAAATTGTTTTTACATATAATGAGGAAGATAATTGTTATTTTTTTATAAGATGATTGATTTTACGTTTTTATTTTCAATAATTAAATTGAAAGATTGGATAAAATGCGATTGTACATACTTTTATTTAATATTTTCTACGCAAGAATTTTGGTGTTTAAAAGCAACGTGAAATAAAAAAGGATTTTAATGTCCTTGATAATTGATATTCTCATAAGTTTTTTTTTTTTTTTTAAGTGGGAACATTATTACAGCACACAAAGCTTGAATCCTGAATTCAAGAAATTACTGTTCAACACGCACTATTTTCACTGATATCGTTAATTTCGTGATTCTCTCTTAGCAGTAACCACATTTTTTTTTATAAGAAGTTCTTCTGAAGTTCCTCCGCACTTTCCAGTTTCTCCATGCTGACTAAGAATCCAGCTTTAGCAAAACTGTCACGAATAGTATGATCTGTAACATCATGGTTCCACTGTATTTCTGTCTACCCAAACAGAAATTTTTATATATGTTTCACAAAATATATCCTCTACTAAGCCATCATTAAGTTAGAAAAAGTTTGGAGACCCTACAATCATTCCCTTTTTTCTTCTTCTTTTTTTTCTTCTTCTTTTTTTTCTTTTCTTTTACTAAGTTCCTTTTTAATTTAAACTCTTTGTCATCTTAATGAATAATTTTTACTTACAAAATAAATAAATATTTAAATAATCTTGTATTCCCCAAATTAGTATTAGAAACTTTGCTGTTTAAGTTATAGCTTGTGTCCATAATTTTATTTAGAAGGAGAAGGTTAAGAAGGACAAAAGTGATCGCCGGTCCAAAAAGAATAAGAAGTATGATGTTGATGATGAATCTGACAAAGAGGACGAAGATGAAGAAAAAAATGCTGAATCTGAAGCAAAACCTGACAAGAAAGAAGAGAAAAAGTCCAAAAAGAAAGAAAAAGAAAAGAAACACAAACATGGCAAGAGCAAGTCATGAGCCACTCCTTGTGCTTCCTGTGCATTTCTAAATTTTGGATTCTTCTTTGCCTTTTGAACAATTTTATTTTGATAGATTTTTATCAAACTCATGTCTTAAACACTGCTTTATTTTATGTATCATTTCGTTTCTAATTTTTTTTATCACTTAGTTTGAGAATGTCATAAATATTTTTAACATTTATTTTAGTTGTAATGTTGCTATCATCTTTAGTTGAAAGACATTAAATTATACCATTTCAGCATGAACTTATTTATTTTATAATTATTCCTATTACATATCTCTTTTTTTTTCTTTTTTTTTTAAATATAAAACATTATTCTTTGCTTGTTTTTATCAGTTGTACCAAATTAATTTGGTATGAGCTTTCTTTAAAATATTTTCCCTTAATCTGTTTTATGAATCTAAAATATGGTTTCACTAACTTAATAATACTTTAACAATGACTAATTTTATAAATACATTTTTATTAGCAAACTATTTTTTCTCATACTAAATAGTATATTACATTTCATATTTATAACAAAACATTTTAAATACAAGGAAGTGAGGTAGATATTCATAAATCTCTCTTTTTTTAAAAAAAAAATTATAAATTAGTGTTAATTAATAAAACACATCTTAGAAATGTTCTGTTTCGTGTTTGTTTATTTTTTTTATGGATATCATTCGTTATTTAAATCATGTGTGTCTCATTTTGTATCTTCAGCTATCACTTAATTGTATATTTGTCATGTGGTTAAACATCAATAAAACTTAATATATATTTTAAAAAATAATAAATTTAAAAAAACATTTTACCTCATTCATTAAATGTTTGTATTTTATAATTCCTAAGGCATAAGATAAACAACTTTTAGAGGCATGTTAGTTACATATTAAGTTACAAGTGAGTTTTATATTATATTGCTTGATAGATTTTGTTTGCGTATTTTACTTCAAATCGATGTTGTACTCAAATTTTTGTAATCTGCACTATTGAGTGCAGTTGTTTTTGTATGTCAATCTGTGTTCGTGTGAAATATGGAGAAAGAAAAAAAAATGCTGCTGAATGCCTACCGGTGTTTTATTCTTTTAATGTTAAAACATAAAACCAGAAATTTTATACATCCAGGGATGTTGACAAGTATAGGCTTTCTGCAAATTTAATGTAAATCAACAAAATTTTAAGTAGAAAAGTGTCATAAAAATGCAAAAATCTTTAAGTTGATTTATTACTTACAATTTTCTGTTATTGCTATAAAAAAAAATTAATTTTTTAACTTATCTTCGGTCTTGTGCTAGTTTAAATTAAAATACTTACTGTTATAGGACAAAATTTCCTATTGGTCAACACTTTTAACGGTAGCCACTTTTACAAAAACTGAAAATCACTTCATTGGATTGAAAAATATGGTATAAACATATTTTAAAAATGAAGAAAAATTTTAAGAAATGAGCATAAAAGAGTAATTTTTCGATTATTATAAAAATTTCATAATAATTGCATATATATTAAAAAATGATGAAAAGCACATGGCATGGGTTTTTGTTTTTAAAAAAAAAATGGCGATCGACTGACAATTTTTTAATTGACACTTGTTATATTTCTGTGCCCTGTAGCAATCATTAATTTTGTACTATTAGTGACTGTTTTAAATTTACTTTGTATATGATTTATTTCAAAATGCAGTTATAGTTTTTTCACTTTTACGAAAATTACTCAAAATTCTGCAAATATATCGCTTTCTGTGACTGTTGAATGCAAAAAGACATGTTTTGTAGTTTGACATCCCTGACTGTTTTCAAAACAAATATGTACTTAATGTTGTGTGAAATTTGGTCACTATTCATTGAAATTAAGATATTTCACATTGATCATTAATACTAAATATTTGTTGCTAACTGTTTTATCAGAAAAGTTTAGAAAGTATAGTTGGTGTAGTTAAATTTTATTATTGTTAATCTTGTTTCATCTGATACCCTTATAGCAGTATCTAAAAAAAAAAAAATTTGCCTGTTAATAAACAAATTATTTGTGTGGTAAAATTGTATTAGCAGTAATTTTATTTACTAACTCTTGTGACTGAGAATTGTTCTTGTCTGATTTTATTGTCAACTTTTAAGATTTATTTTGTTCATCCCTTTTTATTTCAATAAGAAAGGGAGAAAGTACATAATATCATTGCTGCATATGATGCTGTTCGCATTTATAATGTTATCCCATATCATAAAGCATAATTTGTAATGAAGAATGTCATATTTCCTTAAGTTCAAAAGGGTTATAAAAAGCTTCTGCATTTATCAAACATGTTTTTCTTTTTAATTATTCACTTTTTTAAATACAAGTGCACATTATTTTTCTTAATTATGTTTTTTTACTGCATATTAATTACATACACTTTTTTAAATAAATCTTTGAACTGTATTTGTTTTGAACATGCTTTGGATAAAGAAAGTTTATTTTAAAGTAAAAAACTTTATACAATGTTCACTTTGAATTAGTACTCTGCATTTTAGAATTTTAATGTTATAAATTAAGTATTTTATTTATTTATTTATTTTACATTTATTGTAATTAGTTGGAACACAATTAAACATTTTGCACTGGTCCTGTAAGTTTATTCCAATTTTTAAATTCGAAGCCATTAAAGCTTAACTCATTCAATGGCCACGGATTGTTCACCTCAAACCTCCTAATTTGTATGCTTAGCTTACAGTAATAAAAACCCTATTTACCTTATTTATTCTTCAAAAAATTTCGAATAAATGGATGTTTTTTAAAAACTAATGAGTCACAAAAAGTTGCAATTGCCTATAAATTAACATTAAAACTTGTTTCTAATGAGCTTTATATATAAATATATTTGCTTTTGTTTATATTAATTTAGTTATTGTCAAATATAAAGTATTTATTTAGTTATTATCGACATATGTAATTAAATATCATTGTATTTAGATTTAAATTTCTTTGAAGAAATTCAATTGTAATTCTTTCAAGTCAAGACTATGAAGAAGTTTATTATTATGTAGAATGACACATATTGCGTTTTTTTAAAAATATGTATTCTTAATGTTTTAAAAGTAATTGGACAGAAAATGCTTTCTGGTGATTGGTATTTCTTTTTTACTAGCTATTTATATATCTGAAAGTGAAAAAAATGAATGAAATACATGTAACTCATTTTACTTTGTGTCTTTCTTTCCTGTTCAATTCATTGATTTGTATTCGCTTGATATGATGACTGTTTTGTTTTAATCAGTTAGGTGGTATCTTTGAATTCATATATTGGAGGAAAAAAAGTAGAACAGCTTGTAATTGGATTTTGAAGATGGTGGACATTGATTTAAAAATATATATATTTGATAAAAGAGATTTTTTTAAAAAGAAGTTGCTTTATGGTTTCTTTCTAGGTCCACCAGTTTGCAAATCTAATAAATACATAACAGTGTTGTCAGAAAAATCATCCATCTGGCTTTTAACTGCTGCTCCCTGAGACTATGAATCTGGCCTTTAGTGAGTGCTTGAAACTTGTTGAATTAATTCCAAATATAGAGATAATAAAATTTATTAGAAAATTTTTAACATCTTGCATTCCAGCAGTGACTTCTTTTAAACAAAATCTCTTCAGCATACAAACATCTTTTTTTTCTCTTAGACCAATGTTCACCATCTTCAAAATCCAATCACCGTTTTTTCTTCTTTTTTTTTTCAATATCACACTACAGTAGAGAACCGATTATCCGGAACGATCGGGACTATCGCTATTCCGGATAACTGATTTTTCCGGTTTTCGGAATCGCTACAAAAAGCCGTTTTTTTAGTGTTAGACCCAACTAAAAAAAAAAGTGTTTGGAAATAATTTTAAAAATAAGAAAAAACGATGAGGTAATACACTAATGATTATTTCTGAAATGATGGTAAGGTAAACATCTTTCAAAAAAGAAAGAAAAATCCTAAAGTCTTATGAGGAAAAAAAAAAAATTTTTTTTTTAATTGCGGGATAATTTATTGAATTTTGTTCCGGTTTTTTGGTTTTCTGATTTCCGGGTAACAAATTCTGTACTGTATTTGTCTTTTAACATCTGCGGATGTAAACCTTTCATATTCTTGTTCATCAAATTTATTGCACGCCAGTTCTTTAAACTAAATCATGGGTTAGGTTTATCTCCAGAATATCAGAGATGATTGTGCTCTGGCAAAAAAAATCTGGATTTCCAGATTTTTCGCTGACCACGATCCGAAAGTTTACAGAAATCATCGATCCCATTTATGTATAAAAATTCTTGTATATTTTATTTAATAATATTGGAACTAGAATTTATATTTGGCATATCTTTCATTTGTAAAAGTTTTTTCTGGTAGAATAATAAATGTGATTTCGATAAAAGTAAACTAAATACATAATTATTAATTTAAATTATGCTGCAAATAATTTATATAGAATTTCACGTTGTGAAAATATCAATGATTTAAATTTATAAGGACATTAATTTTTTGAAATGTGTCATTAATGGTTTTACTCGAGAAATTTTCAGGATTTTTTAATTGGGCTCACAATTACTCCTCAGTATAACAATTCCCAGTATACAAATTTTCCAGTATTACAAGTTAAATATACTTAATCAAAATGTGAAATATAACTTGAAATAAAAATATTAGAAACAATCCATAAATAAAATTTGCACTCTTTGGAGTTTTATCGACCATATGAGATATGTATTTGTTTAAACATCATTACAGGGTTCGTAGTTTTCCTGATATTACTGATTTTCCTGGTAAAAATATTTTTTCCGGATTTTTCACTTTTTGTCCTGATATTCCTAATTGTTATGTGTCTCCACCATATATATATATATATTTTTAATGGCGGGCACTTGGGGTTTGTCGCATTGGCCACAGAGATGCCAGGACAGCTTATTTCTTCTCGTTACCCAGTGGGCACCTGTGCCGAAGCCACGGCGGTGGAGCAGCGTCGCCCACTTCACACAACCACAAACCCGTTTATAGGGCGGGGGACCTCTTATTCACACAAAGAGGAAAGGACATCCATGCCCTGAGCAGGATTCGAACCTGCGGCCAATGGCTCCGCAGTCAGACATGCTAACCACCTGGTCGGCGTCTTCACAATATATAAATGCACATAATTAATACTATTAATATAGATATCATTTTCTATGAATACAAATGTGGATTTAAAGATTATCTTTTTGATTAATCGAACGGTTTGGATTTTCAATTATACATTTTATTTAAATTGTGCTCATAAAAAAAAAATTATGATTTTAATTCCATCATCTTATGAAAAAGAAAACTTAATTATTTTACATTATCAAATTTTTTTTAAGAATGACAAGAGGTATAGTCTTATTTATTATTTTCAGCAAATGCAGTTACAAATCTTGTAGGTTAGAATTTGGTTTTATCACAATCAGGGTTCGCCAAGTGGGCCCACTTTGAAAAAACCCGCCCGGGTTTTATTAGGTGGGCCCACCTGGTGGGTTTTTTAAAATTTGGTTGAAAAATAATTATCTCCTAATACTATCATTGGAATCATCGTGGAAGTTAGCAAATATTTTAGAAATGTGCAACAAGCACATGGATGAACCAATGAAAAAAACTGCTTGATGCCCCATTTACCAAATGATACTAGGAGGAGTTCATATTGTAACAGCGTAAAAACTTTTGCCAATAATTATCATAAATATCAAGAGATTGCTCTTGAACATCAAAATGAATCCAATAATTATATGTTAAAAATATTAAATAATGCTGGGTTTTACCAATAAACTATCAATTTGGAAAAACATATCAATTGTTTCTAAAGCTTCAATCAGAAAACATTTCAATTTCAGATGCTGTTATGAATTGAAATCCCATAAACATTTTGTAAAAAAGATTCCATCAGGCTGTTCAGCCACCTCATTTATTAGCATATGCATCATGGATCCCGAAACAAGGGGACAATTTTTAAGTGATGAACAGGAACAATCAGCAGAAAACTGTCTTTCTAAGCATCATCCAGAATTTCTGCCAGCTGTTATGGCATTCAAAATTACGGATCCTGAATACTTTCCAAAATCAATGATGCTTAACGCCGTTATAATACAGTTTTCATCAAAAAATAGTGGAAAATTATGGCAAAAAATTCCTAGTTTCCACAAAATTTCTGCCAATTCTTTTTTCTTTACAATCAGCACCAGCATTCTCTGTCTCTATCGAAAGACACTTTTCAACTTTCAGTTTGGGGTAGAGTAAACTACGAAATAGATTAGGAATAAATAAAGCTACAAAACTCGTAAAAGTGTATCACCATCTAAGAGAGAAATGTAGACACTTTGAATCTGCTGTATAATAATAAATTAAAAAATGCATCGTTTTTTAAATTAACTCTGAACATCTGCTGAGAATTTTTAACTATTTGGAGAAAGTTTATCACCATTAAAAAACAGTTAAAAATTAAAACATTACTTTTAAGATTTTTTAACTATTATTTTCAAGATTTTATTTTAATATAATTTATTTTGTTTCTTTTAATCATGTTTATAAATATTGAAAACAAATTAAAAAACATTTTCTATTAAGCGATACATTAAACAACAATTAAAAAATTCAAAGTTTTATTTTCTGGTTTTAGAAAAAGCTAAAACTTTTTATACATGCTTTTTTGTAATTTTTTAATTAATTTGTTTTTTAAAATTTTTAAGTTAAAATTTATCTAAAAATGCAGTCTTTTTTCTAAGGTTAAACATTTAATAAATGAAACAAGTAACTGATACTCTTTATAATTATATGCAATTTTAATTTCACTTTTTATTAACCGTATTATAAAAACATGGAAGACCATTAAATATGTATTCCAGTTTAATTTTATTAAAGGTATAAGTCGGATGAAATTTTAGTTTTTACTGATCATAAATTTGTAATATATATATATATACATAAACTACAAACGAAAACAAAAAGATTAATAAACTTGTTCCTTTTATATTACTGTTGCATTTATATTTTATAATGCTTCAGTTAAAAATTGTGAAACGTTATGTATTTAAGAATAACAATTCAAACATGTATTAGTGATAGTTCATTCTTTAAACTTATTTTAATTATAATATATATATTTTATATAAATTTTTTTGGATTTATTTCTATTTTTAAGCTTATACATCACTATTTAATACAAAAAAATATTTTCACAGTAAGTAGTTTATGAGTACTAAAAGAAAAAAACCAATTTTCCCCGGGTTTTTTCAAATAAACCCCAATTTTCCCCGGGGGTTTTCAATAAAACCCGGGGGGGATTCAAAAATCCCCGGGTTTTTTCAAACCCTGATTACAATGGACAATCTCTTATTTTTTTTAAAAAAAATTTCAGTCCTAACTTATTGAAAATTCTCTCCGGAATCCGAAAATCTGATTGTTTTTCCCCCCCCCCCCAAATGTGTATTTAGTTAATTATTAAACATTTAAATTGGTTATGATGTCGCATGTGCTGAATGGAAACGTGCCGTCTTCATCCTCTAATGCTATTTCTATACCCTTTTTCAATGAAAAAAAGATTTTTAAAATTTCAAACTGTTTATTTTTAACTAAAATAGCTGTAGAAATGACTATGTAGCTTTCACAGCAAATCAACACTTCTTTTCGGCTAAAAACAGTGGTGTTCAAGTTCGTAGAAAATATTATTTTATCACACTTATTTTTAAGATAAAGTAATATGCTCCATTAGAGCCTAAGTACTTAATCAAAATCAATCGTAGATTGCATAGAAATAGTATACATTTAGATATAGGGTGGATGATTTTATTATTCGGTATTGCATTAAAATAAGTCAGTGTTTACTTAAAGTTCATTGAAATATACCCATAATCGTTACAATCTATGTGCTAAATATTTGGGCAATATAATTTAATTTTACCTTTTTCTTTACTAAAATTAGAGGATTTTCTTTTTTAATAAATATTTACATGTACAGTTTCTTTTCTTTCTTTTTTTTTTTTTACTATGCATTTATGCTCATGACTATTCTCAATATTATTCTTTGAGTAAATACGAATTTCGCTAAAGTTAGAAAATTATTTTTACTTTTAAATTTTAATTTCTCCTCCTGCAGTAATAGCATTTACCATATTTGATAATTGTTGATTTTTCTCCGTATTTCTGCAAACTATTTGCTAGTGCTTGCACA